GGTTATGACACAACATCATATCGGGGGAGAAGATGACAACAGGTTATGACACAACATCATATCGGGGGAGAAGATGACAACTGGTTATGACACAACATCAAATTGGGGAGAAGATGACAACTGGTTATGACACAACATCATATCGGGGGAGAAGATGACAACTGGTTATGACACAACATCTTATCGGGGGAGAAGATGACAACTGGTTATGACACAACATCATTGATTTCTTTTTGATTTTTTTCATCTATTTACGATGTATTTGAAAACTAAATATATACATGTGTAATGATAAATCCGAGGAGAGTATCTTCATCAATTTATAATACAAACTAGGAAAGGGATACTATTTTATAAATTTAGACTGAGACGGAAGCAATAAAAGAAATAATTCTTCTGTTAAAATATTCAAAAGGTAGCCTGTTGAGGAAAAGTATACTTACACAAAAATGATACGATGACGCTGAACTTCAGCACAAATCTGGTGGGCATTTCAAAACAACAGAGTGATACTCCCCATGGGTCTAGTGTATGTTTATCGAAGATCATTTCAAGTTAATACGTCTTATATTTTAAAACTAATGCCAGATAACCAAATGAAGAAACCAATTAATCTTGAAGAAATATCAATAACTTAATATGTATTGATTACTTAGGACCTGTTCGTACAGTTACATGTAACAATGGAGTAGTGGCTTAGCATGTACCATGGTCGAAGTATAGAGTTTGTTTAGGGATTACGAACAAACAATTGAATACAACATGTACGTCATTATAATATAAATACTTAACAACTTGTCGAAAATGAATTGTGTACATGTATCAGTAATGGGCGTCTATAAACGAACTAGGGTTGAGATGAGTTTCAGGAAAAACTATTTACCGATGTATAGGGTAATTAGCATAATATCTGTTAGGACAGCCACTGCTAACTAGAATAGGACTGTAACTTATCAAGCCCAATTAAATGTACATGATACTATAACTGTGTTCATGAAGTTATTCACATACAAATGTAGGAGGGACATGAACACTTTTTTTATATAATATAATTACTTGAGCATTAAATTTAATACATAATTTTGGAAATTATTGTATGTACAATACAAAAACACCATACAGGATGGTGTCTATTACAACATTAGCATATAAAATGGTTTTCATAATTGTAATACCATACAAAATAAAATTAAAGCAATACAACTACTTTTAAATATTTGTTTTATAAATGAACAAAGAAAATGTACATTTTAGAAAATAGAATAAAATTACAGAATTGATAACAAAAGCAATAGTTTGTCAAATATCATGAAAAACAAAAATAAAAGAACATGGAATTTTATCTCGATAGCAAAATTATTTGTTTTGGCTATTTTTTATTCCTGTTCCACAAATAAGTTTTTTATGCTATTGAGGCCTATTATCGTCCCTCTCGTACAACCATTTTGAAATATTTCTGATACGCCATGTTGACTTGAAGTTGTTTGTAGATTTCAAATTTCGACTGTCAATGGGTCATCTTTTCGCCTTTTTCCTAAACATTTGAATGATTTACAATCGTATATATCGAAATTTAAAATCTGATTTTGACAAAGCATTAACGATTTTTAGCACAACAAATGTGCAAAGCAGAATCTCAAAAATATTGAATTAAAGATCTTTGTATAAAAAATAGAACTTCATTCTGAGCTTGGCTGCTTTTTGTCACTGATGTTTATATGAAAAAAATATGACAGGGAGGAGGACGAACAGACATAGTATTAGAATGCCTCCGGACCCTGTCTACATAGCGGATGATCTTGTGTCGAAGGCACATGTTATGGTCTGCTTATACATAGCAGTAGTCTTGTAGTGTATCCTGCTGATCTTATATGAATAGCTTGGGGGTTCATCGGACGTAGTAGGGGTAAAAAACGGCCAATGTGATAATGTGCAGACTGAAAAAAAATTGAAAGGTAAAACTGTAAGTCAGAATGCGAGTTGAAGAGATCGATATCGAAGCAAAGGTCGTCCTAAGCCAGATCATAGCATATTACGCTCAACATTTAATTTACTCTTTGCATCGCGATTTACTGTATACATATATAATGTAAACATTGTTATTAAAAATGAAAAGTCATTGTATACATAGTGTTTGCTTATGTACAGTGTTTTATACAGAATTATTTACAGTGCACAAGGTCATCCTGTATAAAGAGTAACATTGTATTTACTGTATGCAATGTTACTATATACAAATGCAAGGTAACAACCATATGTACGGTATAATATGACACATTTTATAAACCATCCTTACCAGCTCGAGATTCACAATATCAGCCAGGAGACACAAAGACTCCGAGGGTTCATATCAAACTCGAGGGGGGGATAAGGGTATGCTATCAAAATGGTTATATCAGAAACCATTTAAACCCCCTTATTATTTCCGAATTATATGTTAACAAGTTTTATGAAAATTGCATGGTGAGTGGATTTCCTGAGTTTTTCAAGAACAACATCTAACGTGGTTATAGATACTGTAAACAGAGTAATTTACTACACATAAGGTTATATACCAATATATTTATCTATATGGTTTCACACACTCTTTAAAAGCTCTATGACGGTTTTATTTATGAGATAAAAGAATAGGGTATTGTTTACGATTTCAACTAGCGCTTTTAAGATAGTAATGATGATTCGGAATACAAAAAAAAAACATAATCGATATTATCCTGTTGACTGCCGTAACTAAACAGACAGGTAATTGTCCTTGCCATATGCCAAACAGACAATAATGTTCGATATCCCCCAATGTCAGAGAGTACCCTTCGATACAGGAATACAGTGCCACACACCCGCTCAATGTACCATCATACAGCACTTTTACATTTGCAACAGCCGTAGGGTTATCGCATTGCAGCGTTGAGGGGGTGGTCGTTCGGATTGTAGTCTCGTCTGGACTTGCAGTTGAAGTTTCACTTCCTGATACAGAGGAAGAAATAGAAGGCAATCCAAAATTAGTTGTAACTAGGGCACTCGAAAACGCTTTGATGCCTGATACCGTTGAAGAAGTGAAATCCTTTGGTATAGCGTTAGTAGTGGTTAGAGCTGTGGTTTCCGTATGCGAAGTGAACAGAGTCGACGATGTAGTATAATTTATAAGTGCTGACTCATTTTGTAGAGTGGTTATTGTTGCATAACCTGCATAATCGAATATACATAAGACTCACTGGGTACATCCTCCGTATAAGTAACAACCCAAAAATAAGATCATGTCAATTTATTTTAAATAGTGCAACGGTAATTGTATTTTCTTAATTTGCTTGACTATGACTGCTGGGTAGCCTTCTTTAACTTGTGTTCAGGTTCGTGAAGAACACTTTGAGGTTATATCCGATATCGAGGGGTTGATGGGTTAATAAGGCCAACTTGTCCTTAATGACCTTATAGTGTTTTTAAAAATTAAGACTACCTTTGGGTCCAGAATAATCGTAGTTGACCCTACGACTACCCTTGGTTCCAGTATGATCTTATTTGACCCTTACCCTACCATGTGGTCCAGTATGAATGTATTGTCTATGGCCAAACAGGAAGAAATCACAACAGATGATCAAACAAAACACTGTTAGGAACGATATTTGGCTTTTTTACGTGCAGAATATTTATCTCATTAGAATTGCCTTGACAATTTTTTACTACGTTTTGTGTTATTAAGTTGCATGTGTATTAATAGATTGATTAAGTGATCAACACACAACATACAAATAACATTTTTTCTTAGCAGAAATTGTCCACGATGTTCCAAAATAACAATCAATAATTCGGAACGCATGGTCCGTTGTCTTCCCAAATTGAACAGAAACACTACATATTATAAGCATTGTCCTGGATGTTCGAATGGAGCAAAAATGCTATGTATCATGACGCATTGTGAGATCATAATCTGAGTTGGTTAATTATGATGGTTATAATCTGAGTTGGCTAATTATGATGGTTATAATCTGAGTTGGTTAATTATGATGGTTATAATCTGAGTTAGTTAATTATGATAGTTGGTCGAGTTAGTCGATTATCAAATTGTTCAGAGACATGAGGTTTACCGAGTGCCTTTTCAATTTGAAAATAATCTACCGAGTGTAAGACAAACATGATAATCAACCAGCACGAGAAAGTTTTTTTGGTTTTTTTTCTGTTTCTCCCACAACGTTTAGATTATATTTTTAGAAAACCACATGTTTCATTTGGGGAACATTTACCCCATCAATGGATGAGGACTTCGCAAGGCATCGTTACTCGACGTAATATCTAGACGGTTGACCAATGAAATAGTATACAGGGTGTATTACTTGTGGGTAACTAAAAATGTTTACTAACTCCTAGCAGGGTTGACTTTGCCAGAGGTAGGAGTTTGTTGGTAAATACCACCTCCCGAAATACCACGATTTGACCGTTGTACAGGTCTGACGGTCGCCACAACAGAACTGTCTCGTTTGTGTACACGTAGATGATACCACCATATTGACCTTTAGTTCCATCTGTCTGACTGTTTCCAGCCGCCACAAACCGGAAATCATCGTAATTTCCGTTGTTAACGGTTACCTAAAATAATGACGAGCAATTACTATCTAATAATTCTTTAAACGATGTAATGCAAAAACCAATAGCAGTTAATGAATTGACCTTGTGTCTTGGTAATGTTTTTTCGATGATTTTATTTAAAAAACACAATCAGAAAAGATAGTTTAACATACTTTATACACAACTAGAAAAAAACATATCACATTGTTAACTCACGATGACCACACTAACAACATCGTATAGTAACATTGATAAAATATATCAAAGCGCTTACGACGACAACACATACTACATGGAAGTATAAGATCGAAAACATAACCTTACTCCGCCAAAATCTATCAAAGTGCTTACTTACAACGACAAAGTCGTAAATTAACAACGCCAGGGTATACCACAGCGCTAACAAACCACAACAAAATATACCAAAGATTGTGATTAAATATATCCCACCGTTATGTAATATCGACCAAATACGCCAAAACAACAACAAAACATAGCAAAGTAACCTGACCACAACAAAGTACAGACTATGATATAAGAGTAGTCACAAGAGCACAAAGGCGCCAAGTACATAACAACAATGTTTACTTCAAAATAAGATTATGCAGATCTTATGTTGTGTACCATAAATTTGGCATTCATCTTTTCTATCCTAAGAAAATGTACAATTAGTAATTTCAGTAGCCTCCATTACACTCTCCCACAACTATTCTCTTGAGGTGTGATATATGTAATGTGGTGTGATACGAGGTCTGATGATGGACATGAAATTTTGTTTTCCTGTCGCCTAGTTCCTCACAGGTAACTAGCGATCAACACGTTTACAAATACCCTTGTTGTGTCATACTGTATGTTTCTGTTTTTTGAGCTTATTATTTAAAATGTGTACGAGGGTTTACCCGGACCTTGCCGTCTAGCGCCACCTTGCTGTATCAATAAATTACATTTGTAATGTGTATTTTACTTTCGTACAAACTTCCATGGACGTACCGTGTATATATATTCATGTAGATAAAATCAAAATTAGTCATCAATCATATCATACAATTGTAAACACACACAGTCCATTTATTCATTATCTTACGACTCACAAATGACATAAACTCTTTCTTTTAACTACAGTGAATGACACAATAAAATATTTCCTAATAAGCAACAGAGATTCTTTTCAGACGTTGGGTATACAGCGCACTGAAGTAACACACAAATCACAGAGAAACCCTCGCTGAGATTATAAGACAATTTTTCTATAATGCCTTTTTATAATGCATACCCCAATCTTTCCTCATAGTCATTGACTGGATTACTTGTAAATAAATAAATTGCATGTAATAAAATTCTTTTTATTGTCAAATATCAACTCGGCAGTATCATTCTATCCTCGGAAAAAGTCGATAGATGTATAAATAAAATATCTGGTATTATTGACATAATTCGTGTATTGTTATTCCGTCAATTATCGACGTTTACAAAGTCCAGTATGTGTGACGTCACAGAATAAAAGCTTTCGTTTAGAAAAAGATTTGTGTACGTCTTGTCCTTTATTAAAACCTATCGATCTTCAGAGTGATCCAATTCTACAAACACTTTGGTAACATCCGAATACAGAGTGTCTCATTGAGTATCTAACTTTCATTACGTTCCATCTTCTTGATATGATGAAACTGAATAGGTTGATATGCTTTTGTATAGAATTATAGATGAAGTGCATCAAGCGATAGTGTGAATTTTACTATAGACAAGATATTGGAATTCTAGAAGAAAGAATGGAACGAAAATGTAACGTGCGGAAGGAAAAAAGATCTATTCAATACTACATTTTCTTTTAAAGAATCTTCTGTTATTTTTATCACAATCAAATTCAATTTCAATTATAACTTTATTTATTATTTTTCCAATTTTTCATATGAAAAAGAAAGGATATTTTTGCTCTGGATTTAAATCAGAGATATCAGCTAAGTTGGGTGACGCCGAAGAAATGCATTTGAACAAGAAACAGTCGGGCCTTATTATCTACTGTAGCACATGTACGAATATGGGACTGAGAATTTACATGGCAATTTCAGAAGCTAACGTTTTAAAGGGGTGATGACATATTTCTACTTATTAAAATTGAAGAGTTTGGGGAATGGAGAAAACTAATACAACACTAATTCTAAAATTAAAATAGTATTTTCTTTTCAAAAATGACATTGTTAAACGTCTTCTACACTACAAAACGGATGCTGCGCAGAGAGATGGATTAGATTGTTTGCCATCAAGTTTTTTTTAATATACGATTTCATCGAATAGAAGTCTCGCGTTATGTAGTCATGATGGCGAACTCAAACCAAATAGTTCCCCAAAATTTTGACGATCAACACAACACTGAACAAACACACTATTGGACACATGTATGAAACAGGTCAACAAGTAAATGACAATAGCAGCATAGTATCGATACGTTTATCGTATTTATAACATGATTAGACAATACAATAACCGCAGTATCGAATTTCAGTGTTTACACAAAAGACGCATGTCGATAAAATATCAATATAAACAACGTAAATAAAAAGACAACAAAAGGGATATAGGTTAAAGAATATACTTTGTGACATCTAAGATACGTTATATTGACATTATCTTAAGCACATAGCGGCTAAATAAAGAAATATAAGAGGGCCATGTTAGACATGATAACGCACCAACGTGACCGAATGCCAAAGTACAACATTCTTCCTGTACAGCATATCCTGCTCTGCTTCAAAAGCAATATATTTATCAATATCTTTTTTCAAAAGATTAAAGATATACAGTTCGGATATGCGCACATGCGGACACTTCTAATTCATGAAATGTTGTGCTACATACCCTAATAAACATCAAACTCTTTTTTTCAGTATAGTCAAGGGTAAAGGTGCCATTTAGTAACAGGCCCACTGACCGTATTTCATCACCATAGGCAAAAGTGTTATTATTATATGGCTTTTTTCGTTTTTCAAATGTGAGAGAGGTTTTAAACATGTTCATATTTGAATCGTATGCCTTTAGTAAGATCATACTAAACTTGGCGCCTTTGTTTAAAGTTGAAGAAATTGCATGAAGACCCGTTGATGCATTAGGGGGTCTAACAGGGCTACGAAAACACCAAACTTTATTCCATACTTACTGCTAAAAGAGATATCTTTCCTATTTGAAAATTTTAATAGAAAACTAGACCTGTACCGGTATTTGTTATTATATATTAATAACCAAAAGAAAAAGAACTCTAATCTGATTTAAAACGTAAATTCACAAGTATCCACATTAAATAAACGGAGAATGCCAATACAAAATTAATTTGCAACTCATCTCTGCATGTATCCATTAAACATGAAAAGGAGAATAGTAATAGAAATATATTCAATAGCATTAAAATTGTGTCTAGATCACAGCTATTCTGTATGCGCTTTGTTTATGTTAATAATGCAAGTAAGTTTGAAGCAATTAAGTTCGTTGACTATTATTTTTATGGTGATTTAAGGATCCGGTTATCCACAAATTGAATAAACTTCGTACTCGGTAATTTCAGATGACTTCTACATATGTACATTAAGAAAATTAGGTCTATTGAGTTTTAACGTTAGTATGATGACAGTTAATATATAATAAATCTCGGAACATTTGTCAGACATTTGCTTTACTCATATTTAGTAACATTGTACTACAGATTACGTGCGATACATTGATATATTGGTTGGTATGCTAATATTACGTCGCATTAAATTATCGAAGTTTTGTTTTTTCTATGGTGCCTGCTGGTAAATGTCTGAGTTGTTCTCACTTTAATCATAGTCGTCGTAATAATCATCATCACCTTCTTGACAATGCTTATATAGATTGAGTCCGTCCAAAAGTAAGGGGAGAATGAATGTTACACTCAGCATGATAATACCGATGGTGCCAACGTATAGGGAAGAAGGCCGTGGATCGTACGCACACACAAGACTTCGCTTGTAGGAAGAGGTGTTCTTTGCGGACAGTTCGGTATTTTTCTTCAGTGTCTCCAATCTCTCGTTAAGGGCCTCTGGTGTTGTAATGACGGGCGTAAACGTATTAGAACAAGCTGTGGAAAACAATTAAATTGAAATGACCACAACATTGGCTCACTATGGATCACAGGTTGGACATACCAATTGGTAAATAATGTATTAAAATACTAGAAACAACAATTTGAACAATGGACTGCAACAAAGTTACATGTTACAGGAACAACACAAATATGTACATACCAGGTGTAACACCATGGATATACAAGGGACTGCAAATTAGACATCAGGGGGAAAATTATTCATTCCCGGGACAAAAACATAGACATACATTATGTTTCATAGACAAAGCATTGCTATATCACGGAACACGGCATTGACATAGTGAATATCATAACATAAAAAAAACAAGGAGGAAAAACAAAAGGATTACAAGGAAACAGTGCATATACTCATTTTATTTAGATGTTATGTATTGTAGGCATGTGAGTATATATTTTCACACAGTCCATCGATATGTCTGTTTGTTTGTTTTCCCATTGTTCAATGTCGTGTATTTGCAATTAAATTGTATTGACAAAAATATTGATCATGTTAAAAATAGCATGTGTAAGCAAGCTATGTGGCCAAAGTCTGAGCAATGAGCAGACATATAGGATTTCTAATATTGATCATGTACACACAGTACAGCCTTATCCCTACAAGAAATTCTGACATTCTATTTTTTATTTTACTATAAAAACGAAACATATTCCCAACGAATAGAAAGGTTTTTACATGTAATACAAAGTCTACAAAGTCGAAAAAGAGTGAACTGAATAATCAGCATTTGTCCGCCTCCCCATTCCACGTGGTAATTATAAATGGCATTACCAGATGTTTTATTAAACTACGTAAACCATGTAGCTGTTACTCACCTAGACATACAGGTAAATTGCCAACCCACGCCCCAGCCACACAGGTGTGTCTCTGATCGCCTGACGACAAGGCGTACCCAGTACTGCACGAGTACAGAACATTACTCCCGCCTGAAGTGCCATCGTACAGCCTGTCGGTGTTGGCTACAGCTGTCGGTACACCACACATAGCACTAGTTACAGCCGGTAAAGTCGTGGTCACTGCTGCAGTTAGCGATAACGGAAAATCGTATCAAATTTATTGCATCATCAACCGAAGTTCATAACCATGCAACACAGATTAACAGAAAATCAGAGAAATGGCAAAGATGATGCAAAGAATTTCAAGTCGAACACACCGTATAACTACTTATATTTGATTTCATTTAAATAGCGGCTACCCACACTCTATCTGTGCATTGTACCTAACATGTCTAGTTCGATGTATTAGTTAGTAACATAAGTAATACTTTGGGAGTTGAAGGGAGACAGTTAAAATTGAGCTTCTGTCCAGTTTGATAAAATAATGTAAATATGGACTATATCTATTGTGGTTTTATTTAAATATGAGTCACATAGTTAAACGTCCGGCATTTATAGGACATGCTGGTTAAGTAAGAAGACGATGATGGATCTCAGGTTAGTGAATTTATAAGAAACATAGGAGATCAAGGATCATATCAACAGTTACGATGTGTAACCTTGGGAGTTAAGAAAATTCCATCAATGAAGAGGTTAGCCGAGTTCTTGAAAAAAATATTAAAAGCAAACATCAATCCCGGTGCTTCCGATTTTGTCCATCCAATACCGTAAATGGTTGTGTTCCAAAACCTTCATCTCACAAACAGTCTTCTACTTTTTAAAATGTATATAAGTTTGCTCATAAGTGACGTAACATCACATCACAGCACGTGCTCATCCCATAAAAATGATGCAAAACATAATAAATGTGATGTATGCATTAAACGTCTTTTTATTCTGTCAAGGGGTTGAAGAAATGACACTGCGATTCTTGACCAGTCTTGCAAATTCTTCACATCGTCATTTTGACAAGACAGATATTTAGCGTTTCTAGATTTTTTAATTTTCTACCATAATTCACGAAAGCAAAATGAAATTTTAGGGAACACTTCAGTAGAGAGCAAGCGCATTTCTTAATATGTACATCATGACCCTGGATCCTGGCTACATGTACCTACATAGCTTTACATACAAAATAGATCGGACCTACCGTCATATGTAGGTGATGCGTGTGTGTAATGCATGCATATGTGTGCACGACGTTGTACCTCTGTTAGGCTAATACTAAATGTAATTGTACACCTATAATCAATTGTAATAACATCAAATGTTACGATTTTGTAGTTAACAAGGAATGCTATTTTCTTAGGTGATAAATCGGTGTCAGAAATCATGTTTTGCATAGATGTGTTTGACCTAAATAAACATATATAATTACGTTTGATAATGAGCTTTCTGTATGCAGAAAGACACTCAATAACTTCTACATTCAACCGTTTTGAAGGAGAGTAACATGTTTGTCACCTGCAGTTGTGGCGACCGGAGTAGTGCCGGAAGTAGTTGTAGTCGTAGCAGCGGTTGTGGTTGTAGTCGTAGGGGCGGGAATGGTTGAAGTCGTAGGGGTGGGAGTGGTAGTAACGACAGTAGTAGTTGTAGTCTGAGTGGTAGTAGTTATCACAGCTGTTGAAATAGTCATATAAATAGTGTACACATCAGTACCAGCATCAGTAGGATGCGACATATATTCAGCATGTTCATTTGAATCTCTATATTATTTTTGAATAGAAGTGCGTGTTGAATCACGGAATGATAATACAGGTAACTATTTATAATTCAATATTATATTAAAAGACATGTAAGTATTAGGTATCTTTTGCGCCATTTACGGATCAATAAAGCTGTTAAAAATACCAGTCTACCATCAGTAATTGAATTTAAGTGTGTGCTTGTCAGGTATTTAAATATGTTGACACCCAGTTGGAAAAAAATCAAATGTTAAAGACATCTCAATACAACAAATGCACACCTGTTTTACAGTCACTGTCGGTCCAGTTAGGATCACACGTGCATGTTACACTGACTTGGTCTAGACTGGTGCCACAGCTACCGTGCCCACATCCTCCCGTCACTGACAATGGATAAAGTCAAAACTCCAGTATTTGTCTAACATGTTGATATCTTTATCTTTTTACTTTTATATTCATTTTGGACCTTGTTAGTTTAAGCCACTGAATTACACAAAAGTTAACGGGATAATATCAAGTAAACATTCGCCATCATGTCTTAGTGTAATGACATTGCCTATGATACATGTACGTCATGCGTTGCAATATTTTAAACTTTTCTTATGTGTCTTAATCAAGCTACGTGTATGACAAGTGTATATTTTTGTGATTATATCAAAACAACAGTGATATCAAGTTTATATTCAAAACAATTGTCAAGATACATAAAACATCACATGATCTAGAATATACACAGAAAACTTTTGAATACAAATTTCTTATAACTGTTTTCGAATATAGATCTATGTCAAACAATTTTTAATTAAGATAGCATACTTTTGAAACAATTTCCAAATTTAACAATGTAAAGTAGTACAATGTCAATTACGAGTGTTTAAATATAATATCACGAGTTTGAATATCTGCAAGAACAATGTAACTTTTAAACTAGGAGTCATAATCATTGAAACATTAATCACAAGGTGTTGAAATTGTGCAGAATTGTAAAGGCCATGATCTCATGAAAATAAAAGATGATGTGAATAAAAAAGTTATATATTCTTAAATTACATGAAAGAACGGTAATAGTTTACGAATAGACTATTATGATGCAGCCAAACATTTTGTAAGGTTCTGAAGAGTTGTATAAGTCTTTCCCACACTTACTTTCTACATCGATATACAACAAACTGAAACGTGTGCATCGTTTCTTCGCCCTCCTAGTGATTAATTTATATATAAAAAAAAATAGCTTACCGGTGCCTGTAGCAGTCATAATTCGTATTGTGACTTCCGCGGTATCTGACATTTGGTACATCTGACCGCCAGCCCATATACCGTCGTGGTACACCATTTTACCCCCGGAGGAGTCGGATGGCCGCCATAACAAAATCTGTGTTTCAGTGTAAGCGTAAGCAACCCCGCCAAATGGAGCTACACTTCCATCAGTTAAACTGTTACCGGTTCCATAAAAACGGAACCCGGGATTATTTCCATCTGCAACTGTGATCTGTAGGGAGTGGTATAATGATAAGTGTAAACCTTGTTTAATCATAGAAAGGTAACTGTGTATTTAAGCAAGTTTCATAAGAGATTGTATCCATCCTGTTTAAATATGCAGGACTAGGGAATTTGCTGCTAATTAACACCTGGGTTATTCGGTGACATTAACAGTATGCTTGTCTAAAATTTTAAAACAGGGATGACATTGCGATTGTTATATTGACCTAATATTTCCTCTTTCCAAAGGCCCTATTTCGAATTCCCTCTGCAGTAAGTATTATTTATATTGTTCGAAGCTACATGTATATTTGTATCATTACCTCGGTTGACATAAGTATGTCATCTGTTTCAAATGTAGAGGAGAAGTCAATCTCATAACTGCTCGTCAATCCTATTCCCATGGTTAAAGTGTGCTCAAAAAGAATTTCGGTTGCCGGAAATGTCCAGCAAATGATTCTTATTTGGCCCGAATTAAATCTCCAGTCATCGTTCAAGCCCCATCCGTCATATGCACTAAAAACATATCCTGAAAAAGAAACATTACTCAGTAGCATTGTCGGTACAATATTGTTGATTCTATCATATTTGAAAATTTGATTATAAAACAAGTAAATCGTATGTGCATAGATGCATAATAGCATTTCATCTGTACGGCCCTTATCAAAACTTCCCATTAAAAAATATTGCTATGACATTATCAAGAACAAATATATATGAATGATTTCCATCAGAAACTGTTCGAGTCTTTTACATATACTATTAAAGTAATCGGGAACAAAACGTGGCGTCATCTTTCATTATGACAGAAATGTCCAATGGCTTCTTACGTTCGTCACCTGTAGTTAATCATAGAAAACACAACCTTGTTCACGCATATAGTTAATCTACAAAGTACATGTAGCATATACCAAAACAAGCCATCCCGAAAGATGAAATACTTTTGTTGGTGTCTCGAATGTAAAAAAAAATGATCAAAATGTATCTCTTTTTCCACATTATTAATGGTTTGCAACATAGCTTCGTGCATACATAGTGTCCAGGATGCGCTACTGCGCATGATAGAATATGACGAATATGATTGTATCTATGAATTGAAAAATACATTTATACTTGTAATTATTCCATCAAACCTCACCTTCGCTTGAAGCCCATATCCGTATCATGGTGGTGTCATACCCAAACAGAACACCGCCAATGTTCATATACAACGGAGCATTGTCAGATATCCCGGCGCTTCCTTCAACGAAATAGTGGGAATAATCCAATTAGTATTGTGATTGTTATTTTCAAGCCCGGGATTAGATATTGTTATTGGTGTTCACTGATGTAAAACACTTTTCAGCATTGAACATATTAATGTGTACAAGTTTTATTTTAATCAAGAATAGTAATCACGTATTGTCATGAAAGATAACGTGAACAATGTTTGCATTTTATGACTAATTTAAAAACAAACAAACGAATTTGGACACAGCATATATATATAAATTAGCTACGTAAAGTATACATGTACGTGAAATAATAGTAATAAATCTATCCAAAACTTAAATGTATAAAGTCGTACAGCCAGCCATCATATAATACAATAAAATACATCGCTATTGCGGCACCAACATTAACACGAATACAATAACATTAACAAATATAAATGGAAAAATATTTAATGTATTTCTACGCTCAGGAAAAGGGTATAAATTTAAGTGGCTTTACCTTGGGCGTCTGACCAGTAATCAGTGGAACCAAGGGCTACCTGTACTGTGACCAAGTCCGGATATACTCCCAAGTTATGTGATATTTGGTGGTAAGCCGATGCGCCTGGGTCAAACATGGAAAAGTTTTTAAAGCTTAAATATTGACATATCTCCCTTCTTCAGTTTAGTAAACTCTTACTGAGTTTAAATTAGCGTAATTGATACTCTGTTTCAAATATGGCGCCATTCACGCTTCAGCGAGATAACTGTTTGATGACAGTCATTGTTTGTGCCTTTCAACATCTAGAAGCATGGAACATATTCGGGATCCATTATGTCTGATTATACTACAAAGGAATGATGGCAAACTTCTTATTCCATGGGTGCACATTCAAAATAATTATGTGACGGTAAAGTAAACAATGGCGACTTCCATTTGTGACGTTCGACTGCGTCACAACCCGTGCAGTGTGTCAATTCTAGATTCACTGAAACTGTATTCACCTATCAGCCACGGCTACCGTAGTTACCATCGTAGCAACCTGCTTCGACTTTTTTTCTTTGTTTAGGAATTGAACATTTTTTGATGTTAGTATCAGGATTTACCTTCATTTTGGAGGCGTATACGGTAGAAAGAAACGCAGTTGGCAATGAACATAATATTATGAACGCAGTTGACCGGAACTTATTCCTTATATTTTCGTTGCCAACTGAATTCATTCTACCGTAAACGCCGCTAAAATGAAGGTCAATACTTAATCATTGCAGCACTTACTACAAAACACGTTTGGTTCTCGTAAAACGTGACTCGTGAAATACAACAAGAGAGTACGATTGTAATTTGAAAATTACATTATATCAACATGAAATATAACTTTGTTCTTAAAACTTGAACATAGATATATCTGTTTTATCACGTATAGCATTCTTTAGATTTTCATAAAATTAATAAAATATCTGTGAATGTTATTTCACTTTTCTTATCAAAATTATAGATTTCTTTTTACAAAAAGATTTTTTTTTTTACATATCTCAATATATATCTAATTCCATAGAATTTGTAAGACATGTTCTTTTCAAAGATCAGTCTTATTAATTAAATATATGCCTTATACACTGAACGAAGTATCTGTACATAAACTGGAACCCGACAAGTTACCACGAATGACCAGTTGGATATATGACGTATTTTCACAACTTACCCTTTCATCAAATTTTGAAAATTTGAATAATGGTCCAACTAAAGTTACTCTAAATTTCAGCTCAACCAGTAGTTGAATCGGTGAAAGATAATGGAAACTAAGTATGTCATTCACAGACACTGGTAGCTCATGGTGACATGTCTTTTTAAATCATATTTCAATATAATTACGTAACATACTATTAATAACTGTCCACTGATGGGAAAATGCCGGAGGACCAATATCACACAGTGCCCAGGCTCGAACCTTGACCTCGCCGGAAATATACGATCCTCCAATAAGAGTCGAGCCTGTTCTTCCAGCGCCACCTGCAACATACACAGATTTTGTGTCCGCCAACGTGTCATATGTACAGCACCTATAAAATGCCATCATGTCGTGTTAATAGTATCTATGAAATGACATCCTGTTTTATAAATAGTATCAATGAAACCACATCGCCTCTTTTTAATAGTATCTATGAAACCTCATCGCGTTCATTTTAATCATATCTATAAAATCCCATCGTGTAAAACTAAATATAAATAGTATCTATGAAACGGAATCGCGTCATTTTAATAGTATCTATGAGAAGACATCGTGTCATTTAATAATATCTATTAAACCCCATCGTGTTATATCAAATATGTATAGTGTATAGAAAATGCCTTCGTGTCACATTTATAGTTTATATGAAACGCTATCGTGTCTTGATTACCTTCGTGTCACATTTATAGTTTATATGAAACGCTATCGTGTTATGATTGCCTTTGTGTCACATTAATAAAATCCATGAACATTTCTTCCAGTTTTTCGAACTCACCAACATATTGTTCAGAGACATAATTTAATGAATAATTAATTACTCTTTAATTTTACTGCGCGAATTTTCATGTTATGACAAAAGTATTTATAAAATACAATATTAAAGTCAACGGAAGTTACCTGTGAATGCCACTAGTCCACTTGTTTCGGCCAAAATAGAGCCCTCCCCGTCTGGTGCATATACTCGTATGTCTACAGCATTGTAAATATACACAACTCCACCATACGAACTGGGAGAATCGTCATCTCGATGTGCTGAACCGGATCCAGTAAATATGTAATAGTTTCCATTATCCACAACCCTTATCTGAACATCTACTTTCACCGGATATTCCCCGAGGTCATGTGGAATGACAAGTTGACTTCCTGCTGCTGCCTGGGCGGTCAATGTTACCCACGAACTCTCAAAGGTCGGTGCATTCAAACCATCCACACTAAAATCTGAATAGACAATGAAGTCTTATGAGGTTGTTAAGCTTCTCAAGTAAATAAACGTAAACACATCACAGCGTCAGTTAAAGACGACAAACACAGGAACTAGAAGGAAAATAAAACAATTAAAAAACACAACAATATAATACCTACAAATATTCGGAGACGGACTAAAGAGATAAGATGCAGGCATCACAAGAACAATGCAAAAAATCGTAAAAATCAACTTAAAAAGACAAATTTTAAATCAACAAATATGAGGTAATTAAAATATAATTATGAAAATACAACGGAACATTTTTCTTTAAAAACACCACCCAGGCTAGCCGAAGAGATATGCAATAAATATGCAAGACCACACACTTGTATTTTTCTAACGAATCAGAAAGCACGAGTTTATTGCGTGGACGAATATTAGTTGAGCAGCTTACCAAAAAAAACATGCAAATGGTGATACAAGCATAAAACTTTGTAAGAACATGCCTTTAGGTGTATTTAATCATATTAAAGGGGTAGCCACGAAAAAAATCCATCCTATCATGGCGGCCATCTTTGATTTTCAAAATGGCGTCTATCCAGGTAAATACATCAAATGTATGTTCCCTTTTGAATACATATTGCTTGTATTTTATACAAAATGTTACTAGGTTGAGTGAATGAAGGTTTATTTGTCTCGTTGTAGTAATAAAACATCACATCCGGTCAAATATCGGTCGATAACTCACTTCCGGTTTTATAGATATCTTACATTTGATCCATACTGCCACACGCCAATGTTTAAATCATAGTACTTTGATAGTTATTAATTTGAAGCATCTTTTGGGGTAGGTCTTCGGACCTTATTTATAATTAATTGTTAATGTTAAGTGTTATTCGATTATTACGAGGGGCAGATTTTGAGCTGTACAAACAAACGTGGTCTTCCTTGATCCCATACATTTTTGGACTTGATCATATCAACTATGCTAGATGGCTTCCTATTCACCGTCGCGATATGGCTTCATTGGAAACAAAAAAATACAGATATTTACAGAGAATTCATAAAAGGGCACTTCACTGTGAAAAAATCAAATCGCGTTTTCTCAAACATAGCGATAGACCAGGCTCATGGACAGAATGACGCTATTGTTAAAGGTGATGGGGTGCCGTAGGGCTAACCGAGGATCCATCTGCCTTGAGACGTTGGATGGTAGCCGGACCAGAAATCAGTAGGCTGATAGGCCAGTTCGAAGAATGTTCGTCTGGAAGAAGGAACGCAGATGACAGTCATCATGACAATTCTGTGTCAATGCAACGAGATTTGATTGACAAAGTGAAAAGACTGAAGACTGTCATGAAATCCATTTCTTGAGGATTCTGGAGATATCTACAAGATAGACAGCAAAAATATTGTACAAGCAGACCCAGGGAAACTGTCGCAAATTAAACAAACTGGACAATCAGTACGCTGACTTCAGAACCCGAATGCAAAACAAGGCAAACATTTATGAACCTATTACGAAAAAGAAGTTTCTTTTGTTCAGTCGCCAACCAAAGAAAAGTTCCGATGAAACCAAAAGTAAGCTTGACCTCGCCCGAGAAGATTGCAGTCTGTTTTCAAGGCTTTTCATATCCTGTCAAAGCTGTCAGTCACGAAAATCAGAAATTTCCTCCTTCATTGTCTCAAAGTGGTAAAAGCAATATTGGCGTTAAATCACAGCTTATGGAAGTTCTGGAAGCTAAGGGAAATTTGCCAAGAGAAGAACCTCAGTCAGACATGGTAGTAGTTGACGTGATTGTGCCGTACATTAACTACCTTACTTCAAAACATTCAAGAGTAGTCATTATATTTGATATTTACATAGGAGACAGCCTAAAAGCACAAACACGTAAAGAGAGGGGTGCTGGAACCAGGCGGAAAGTTGTGGGCTACAGTAAGACTCCAAAACCTTGGGCGAGCTTCCTTAGAGTGGACAAAAACAAGACGGAATTGTTTCATTTCCTTACCGATAAAATCAGCTCGATTCAATCTTACAAAATGATTTTGTGACAAAAGGCGAAGATGTTATGACAAATTCTTGTCATGACCATGATGATCTCAGTCCGTGTAATCACGATGACAGACACAAGGATATTTGTTCATATCAAAAGTGCAGCTGAAAGGGGATGTAAGTTGATAATAATTGATGATCAGCTCAGACACTGATGTAGTGGTTTTGGCAGTGTCTCTATTCAGGACACTAGAAGTAGAAAAACTTTGGGTTGCATTTGGAAAAGGAACAAACCTGCGATGGCTTCCGATTCACGAAATTGATCACTCACTTGGTCCTAAATCAATGGCTTTGCCATTTTTAATGCTTTCACCGGATGTGACACTGTCTCCGCTTTTCATGGAAAGGGAAAGAAGTCGGCATGGCAGACGTGGGAAATACTTGTAGACGTTACCGAGGTGTTTTGGCGATTGAGTAAGAAACCTTCATTTGTCAGTAAAGCTGATATGGAGTTGATAGAGGCATATGTTGTAGTTATGTACGAAAGAACTACAACAACATTTGACATCAATGAATCCAGGCTTGAATTGTTTGCACGCAAACAAAGACTGTATGACACGATTCCGCCCACCAGAGCTGCACTGCTTGAGCACACCAAACGAGCTGCATAGCAAGGTAGTCATGTATAGGGACAGGCAGTCACACATGAACAACATCTACCTAGTCCGGGCGATTAGGGATGGGTTAAGGAGACAGCAGATGGGTTGTGGATTCCCAATTTGACACAATTAGCAGCCATTGCAGTATCGTGCCAGGAGTTACACAAATGTGGATGCAAGAAAACTTGTTCTGGTAGATGCAAGTGTTATAAAGCTGGTTTGACCTGTACAACATTATGTTCCTGTAGCTGTTAGGACGAAATACATCGGAAAATACCCCCATTCTTCACTCGAATGTATGATCTTTTACCACCCTAACCGGAAGTGGAAATTTATTTTTACAATTCCTGTCTGTTTAACATATTTTCAGGTCATTTTGTTGTATTTCAAATAGTTGTCATCACCTATATCACGTTAAAAAAGGTGTGGATCTGTTTTCAATCTCCACTATTGAGCAAAATGATGCCAATTTTAAATTAAAGATGGCCGCCGTGAAAGAAATCAAAATTATGTTGGCTACCCCTCTAATATGCTAAAGTACACCCTTAAGAACGGATTTGCCAAATCCTATGCTTGTATCACCATTTGCATGATTTTGTCAAATTTCGGTGCTAAGCCGTCCACGCAATAAATGAGTGCTTTCTGATTCGTTAGAAAAACACAAGTGTGTGATTTTACTTTATCACATACCTTCCATATTTGGTAGAGATCGATAAAAAGATTTTATAAACTTTGATATTTTTTGCAAATACCGGGAACTTTTCAGTTCGCCATGACAAGGGGATTCCCATAAAAAGTAATTCCGGCTAGTAGGTAAATACAACATTCCGTATTGCACATGTGCAATACAGAACGTTGTATAGCATGGTCTGAAAATTGCTTGTATTACTATAACAAGATACTGTTTCTTAGTGACTGTTTTTTTTTCTTTGTTATTTGCGGTGATATATAACTGTACAAGCTACTGTCTTGAAAAGGTCACACTGTGACCTTTTTTCACTCATATATTCTTTTGGTTGTTTATGTGACTTGACTGAAAGTGCATAAAAGACAGCGTAGCACTTAGATTAATTTATGCATATGTGTGTGCACATAACCACTTTAAATGGGTAAATTGCAAATAAGTATCGGATAGTCGTCTCCCATGCATAAAAGCTAGAAATAGGAAGAGTTACTCGCCTTGAATAAGAAGTAGAGGATTGTGGGTAAAATGCATTGATTGCGCCATTGAGAAAATTTGTAAACAAAAAGGTCTCACAGTACAAAGATATTTTGTTAACCATTCAAAGTACGGACCTAGTCTAGTATACCTTCTGAAGTATTTAACCCACCCTCTTCCTCCCCCTTTTCTGTGGGAGAAATGCAATTTTACACAAGATCTAAGTGGCGGAGTTTGCCAAACTTCAATTAGGCTTATGGCCTAAAACTTATGTATTTGTAGACGACAAACACAGGAACAAGTAGGAAAATTAAAAAATTAAAAAACACAATAATAGAATGACTACAAATATTCGGAGATTATTTTTATAATTTCATAATAATCATCCTTATATATGATAATGCCATGCTGTACTTGTCAGATGTTTGACATCGTCATATTTGGGTATTATTTGTTTGAAAATAGATTAAAAGTCACCATACGGTGACCTTTTTCACTCAAATATTCTTTAAGATATATATATGAATGTATGTGTGTGTGTGATACGTAAACACATTATCTTGGACCTTTTAAGGATCTAAGTTTGACAGTTAACACAGTGAATTCTGTCAGTTTGCTGGAAAATTCCACAATAAATGTAATCTAGTTTTGTTACTAAATATGCTTAATAGGAACTGATTATGACGGTAAGTATAGTAAATGTTATCTCGGTTTGATATAAAAGTGATCTAGTGTTATTAGTGAACACACTTAATACGAACTGATTATGACGGTAAGCATAGTAAATGTTATCTCGGTTTGATATAAAAGTGATCTAGTGTTATTAGTGAACACACTTAATACGAACTGATTATGACGGTAAGTATAGTAAATGCTATTTCGGTTTTATATATTACACAGTAAATGCAACCCCGGTGTTATGATTAAAACAGTTAAAGTGCTGTTAACGGATGTAAACAAACTACGGTTTGATAACCTATTATACCGTCATACATGCAATAGTGAGTTTTGATTTTGATTTTGAAACCAATGTGTCTAAGTCATTAATGAATTTGACTTTGAGATATTGATTGCCCATCCTCATTGCGAGTTAGACGCAAGGATATATTCAGTTTTGTTACATGACAAAATTCAGTCAATCCAAACATATGATGAAGTTAAAATAAGGATAATATAGAGTTTTTTGTTATAACTTCACAAAGTACTCCCTGTTTTGTACTTATTGTGAATATGTTTTATAACATTTACTTTAATATATTTTTTGATGTCATTCCAATCGCTGAACCAGAATACCGTCTGTTGAAAATTGATGGGCAGTTATAAAGCTGCGGCAAATGCATCTGATAGGAATTAGTCGAGAAGTGAAATATGTTGGAATTTTGTAAAACTTTAACCTGAAAGGTTAGGGGAATAGACGTGGGACCTGTCACATGTGGTAGATACGCGTTAATCATGGATCACTGTGTTTATATTTTGTTCACAATTGATCGAAACAATTCCAAAGAAAAATGTTGTCCATTCACACAGAATAATGATGAATAAACACTGTTTTACTTATATTCAGATCTTTTACATTGTTTCGTTTCATATTGACATAAAAATGAAACACCTCATTTATAGAAGCCATGTCAATAGTGTAGTATACATCTGTGAAGGTATTTGTTGGCTTTGATAAATTGTAAAGAGTTAAATGTAAAATGATAACTCTATAAAAGGTTTAGCATCATTCTCCATTGATCTCTGCGTGTGTAAGTGACACACTATCGAACGAAAATATTTGAACATTGAAATAATAATTGTCTTTATACAGGAAAGATTTTAATCCATATATCTTAATTCGATAAACGAGTAGCGTGCATATGTGTAAATTGAATACATAGAGTAAGTTATGTTTATATAAACTATAGGACAGGTTTTAAACAATGGCTGAGCCGTTGATATAGGTAAAGATGTTTATATACGTTTTAGTCACTTTGAACAGAAAGATGAAACAACATGTTTATTGAAAATCAATACCACACAGTATTGCAATAAATGGGTGTATTTGTGATATATTTCTTTGTTTTTTTAGACATTTTCTGTCGTGTTAAACCAATGACTCCCAGTGCCGATTTAATGGCGGGACAAATTGCGATTCCTGGTAGAAACTGAATCATGTATGCAAATTAAAAAACAATGCCTTTTTTGGAACGCCTTATGTTACGTGTATTCATTATTTTGTTTTATTTATCCCTAATGCGATAGAACTAGATGGAGATTTAGAATAACGATTTAACGACCAATTATTGAATTTTAGTNACAGAAAGATGAAACAACATGTTTATTGAAAATCAATACCACACAGACTATTTCAGCTATTTAAACATCCGTTGTGAAGAAAATAAATGTTCTTACATGTAGAAGTCTGAAACATATTCTTAAAATAGAAACTTTATTGAAAATATATAACTCTTTTATTTTGCCAATCTTTTATTACTGTTGT